AATGTATTTTTAAGTTAATGAGAGCCTAATCTGTGTGAAGGATTTATTGTAAAATGCAAAAATACTTTGCTACTTTTCTACAAAAGGTTAAAAACTCTCAGGTTTTCTTTAATTCATGTTTTAGATGTGATATTATATTGTGTTAGCTAATATTCATGAGAACTTGAGCAACAAGTTATGTAGGCTTTATAAAATGATGTCTAAAAAGGAAAGATCAGCTTCAGAATTACAGTACTTCAGATTTATGAAGAACCCTGCCTTACCTGAGATAAGGCTCTGTGTCCCATCTCACTACATGTGAAAGTGACTATGAAAGAAGTAGGCCAGATTTCAGTACATTTAAAGTCGTGTCCAAAAGTTGGTTTTTGTCAAGGTTACTAGGATCTCAAACAGGGGATTATAATGTATAACTCTGCCAAAATTCAAGGTAGCTATTGCATGAACTAAATATGTTTTTACTCTTGATAATTTTATCTTGTCATTTTCTTATAAATGGTCTAAAGATTGCCTGTTAATGTTTTGCAGAGAACACATAACCTGGGTTAATTTAAGATAATGAGTTATCACCTACAGGAGAGAGAGATAGGCATTAAAGCCCAGTACTCTTAATATAAGGCTGTTGAAACTTATTTGCTGGATGTTTAAGATTAAGTTTTAAAATTAAAGTTAAATTAAAAGGGCCAAGAAAACCAATATTGGGCTCTTGCCCTCTGAGTCAGTCTGAATCCAGGGAACAGGGGACATCTCTAAAGAGCTTTGCAACTCTGGGCCACATAACCTCCTGATCAGGGAGGTTAATGAGACTGCTGGAGGACAGAAAGCCAATCAGTGCATTTGCTGTGAAGAGGAGGGTCATCAGAAAAGGGAGACATCCCTGATGCTTCCAAGGGAAGCCATATGGTTAAGCAAGGCCTGGACCCATCCTAGCGCAAATGGTACTAGCAGAACTGAGAAGCTGCTGTAAAGTTCCCCCAGGACTCCCAGGGAAACTCAGCTGACTGTTAACAATAGATAGAAACAAAAGTCAGTTTGACTGCTTCATCTTAAACACCTAGCAAAGACAGTTAAAACCAAAACACAGCTATTCCTGGGCATTTTAAATAATAATAATAATAGTTAAATGTAACTTCCATGAATAAGTAAACTGGAGGCTACAAAAGAGATCCTTAGACAGGAATGCCTGATAACTATCAAAAGAAACTGCCAGAGTAGTTTTAATTTAAGGCCCACAGATATTCCTATCCTACACAGGTAGGCATGGTGTTTGCTAGTATGATTATCCAGCCCTAAGTAACAGAATTAAAGGTTTCTCTATTAGACACAGAGGTCATACTAGTAAAAGGATTTTGCAAGATCAGATGACATTAAATTATTAAACTGTATCTTAAGGGGAAGGTCATCTGTAACCCTAAAAGTTAAATGTTATGTTTACAGTCCTGGTAACTGGGGATGTTAAAGCCTGGTGAGGGAACTTATGTACAGTGACATGTTCAGCTGTTGCAACACTTATTCAGTACTCATGGTTTTTGTTTCTCTCATAGAAGCACCCATCCCCAGATGACAACCTGTTTTTCCCCAACCAGACCTCAAATGGAACTGACCTCTAAAAGGGAACTCACGTCCCCCATGTCGCCCCCCCATGTCTTCAAGCTCCCACATGTTAGACACCCCTTTTCAGGTCTGAAGCAGCCAGAACAAGCCGTCGCCCCTTCTCCACACAGCAATAAAGTTTCTAAAATTAGGGGGGGGAATAAAGCCAAAAATGGATAGGCAGTGTAGATAGGTAAATCGTGTCAGGTTGGATCTAGGAGGCCAATTTTGAGTGAGTCTGGGAAGTTGAAGACTGTCCCCTGAGGATTACTGTTTACCAAGATATAGGGCCTGCCCAAATAGGCCCCCAACTGAGGAAACCATGATTGGTTCCCAAGTTTCCAGATAAAGGGGGAAAGAAAAACCAGCCTCTATCTCAGAGCAAAGCCTGTCCAAGGAAGGGACATGACCTTAGTCCTTGGAAAAACCCACAGAGCACTCCTAAGCACATTCCCACCCTGCTAAGTTGCTTATCTACAAATAACAGGAGAGATCTGCTGCACCAGGTGTCCCTGACTCAGTCAGGCTAGGTGGAGATCCATAGCAACCCCCTAGCAGCCACCAATCAGCATGAGACAGGGAAATACCTGGGATGCCAGATGACCCTCCCAGTTTATGGTGGTTGATAACATGTTGGGAAACCATGTAATTCAGCAGTACACCCCTCTTGGCTTAAACCAATCAGTTCAAATGAATACCCCTTTTGTACTGACCAATCACCCCTACCCAACTTGTTCCCGACAGTGAATGTGCTAATCATGTTTTAGAGTTGTTATCTGATTTTCCCGCGGTGTGTGATGATTTGCTAACGGATGCTATGATGTATGTGAAGTCCCTGCCTTCTCCAAAGAATGTATAAAACTGCTGCAAACCCTGGGCTCGGGGCCTCTCAGCATCACCAGTTACTGTGTGTGGGTGTGGAGGACCGAGCTAGCTCGCAATAAACACCTCTTTGCTGCTTACATTGATCTTGGGTCTCTGGTGGTCTTTGGGGGTCCCGAATTCGAGCATAACACATCTCAAAGATTTATGTTTTGTTTTGTTTTCAGAACCTCCCGCTCCTTATTGAAGTATTCTTTTACTTCCTGTATTTGTTTATGTAGCTCTTTACTTAATTGATTTTTGCTGCCTGTGTTTGCTTTCTTATATCATACTTTCATTCACAGAACATTGTAATCATGTTCATCCTGAACTCTTTCTTTGACATTTCTTCTGCTATGCTGGCCATGGATTCTAATAATTTAGTATCTTGATTTGTTTGGGGCACTTTCTTCCCTTGTTTTCTCATATTGTTTGTATGTCTTCCCTTCTAGAGGTGAGGATCCGAGGTGTTACAGTTTTTACCCTATAGACTTATAGTGTCTCTGCAGGGTTATAATACCTCTTTTTTAAGGGGGAGATCAATATTAACAGATCCCAATACAAACCATATACAGTCTTAAGTCAAATAGCTCCTCTTAAGACATTTATGGTTTTGTCACAATAGACAGAAATGATGGGTTCAGTTATTATCTACAATATAAACAGTAGGTTTTGCAAAAGTGTCTAAAGTTTCTGATGTAGACAAAGAGAGAGTGGGGGAGGTTGTAGGATGAGATGTTAAGGAGGTAAAAGGTGAGATTTAGAGTGATTATACCTTAGGAATTGTGAAGGAGAAATCAAAAGAAGTTAGAAGTTGGTTAGTAACAGGAGAAAATAGAAAAATACTTTGGGGAGAGAAGTAAGTGGGAAGACAATAGAGTATAAAAAAACATCATAATAATAATTAAGAAAAAGAAGAAAATTTAAAAATAAAAAAATAATATACAATACAAGGTTAATATATTATTGAAGCCAGATTTAAAGATAGGTAGTTAGTGTAGTTAGGTAAATCGTGTCTAATATTGAGTAAAATAGAGAATGAAGGCCATATTGAGAATGGAGTCCAGGGATAGGGGAATTGAAAATGTCCCCAAGGCCCAGAGCCCATCCCAAGGAAATGTTAATGAAGCAGCTCCCAGCAAACATGGAGATGCTAATCCAAAAGTCCTTCCTGCCCAGATTACTCCTTCGGCCCATCTGTCCCTCATCCTTTGGGCCTTTCCACCTGCATTCTATCACTGTAAGATAACAGAACAAAGGACAGGAGCCCAAAGGAATGTGGGAAAGCTGAAAGAAGACCTTAGCTATACAAGAGGGAAGCCTCCCTCTTCCATGGATTCCACCTCTTGGATCCCCTTCTTCCTTCAGGGAGAAGTCTTTTCTGCTGTCCTTTAATAAAGCTTCTACTTTCCACTCTAAACTTGCCTCAGCGTGCTTCTCTGGTGTTATACTTCAGCATGGGGGAAGTAAGGACTTGTCACAGGTAAACAGCAGCAACACTATTCAGACATACCAGTTCTCATTAGCCTAATGTATGAAAAGTACTTGGTTTCCCAAATGTTGTGAGTGTGAGGATAGGAAAAGAGAGGGAAAGAAAATGTCAAAGGAAAATTAAAGGATTGTTTCTGTTGGAGTACAGAAACCATCCTACTTCCCTTCTTATCCAGTAGGTGGGTTGTCTGTTGTTTTCTGGTGTCTCCACCCTCAGGATGGTGAAGGTTATTAGGGTGGGAAGGTTGGTCATAGAGGCAGAACTCCTAGAGGTGGGGTATAGCATTTTCCAGTCTCTGTTGGAAGACATTGGAGGAGCATGAAAGTCCACACACAAAGGCTCACATTTAGAGCCAACTGATATTTGACAAGGGTGGCAAGGAAAGACAATGGGAATAAATAACCTTTCAACAGACACCATCTCTAACTCTGTATATGTGTGACTTCATTTAAAGCTACATCCAACAAGGCTTCTCTCATCTCTCCACCTACTCTTCCCCATCACATACCACCATCTACAAGACTTAACCCATCTGCAATTCACTCTGCCATTCACGCTGCACATGTCAAGGTCTATTTTAATCCACAGGACTTGCAGGTGACTCACCTAGGGTGCACCTAGGGTAAGCTGCTACTTTCCAATATCCCAAACCCTGTGCTGTTGAAGGCCACAGCCGGGAGATGACGCATGGAATTTTGCCAGAAGGAAGTGGTTGAGAGGTGATGCCAGCGAGTCATTGAGATGATGATGATGGTTATGTTAAGCTGTGTATTCAAATGTATATATGACTTTACTGTCCAGCAATAGATCTGCTCTTGCTATTTTGGAGTTCTATCCGAGAGGCACACCCAGAGCCCAGTGGAAGGGGAGAGAGTTCCCGGGGAGCATGTGTGGAGTGCTGGTGGAGTTCAGCAATAAAGAGTTGCTGTTTTGAACCTACAAGTGCTTCTTGGAAGCTCGGTTATTTGTGCCCAGCCAGACTGCGACACTGTGCAGTGATGAACTCCATCTGTTATGCTGAAATTCGGGACCCCCAAAGACCACCAGAGACCCGAGATCGATGCAAGCAGCAAAGAGGTGTTTATTGCGAGCTAGCTCGGTCCTCTGCATGCCCACACAGCAACTGGTGATGCTGAGAGGCCCCGAGCCCAGGGTTTGCAGCAGTTTTATACATTTTTTGGAGAAGGCAGGGACTTCACATACATCATAGCCTCTTTTAGCAAATCATCACACACCGTGGGAAAATCAAATAACAACTCTAAAACATGATTAGCACATTCACTGGCGGGAACAAGTTGGGTAGGGGTGATTGGTCAGTACAAAAGGGGTATTCGTTTGAACTGATTGGTTTGAGCCAAGAGGGGTGTACGTGCTGAACTACATGGTTTCCAAACTTGTTATTAACCACCATAAACCACTGGGAGGGTTATCTGGCATCCCAGGTATTTCCCTGTCTCATGCTGATTGGTGGCTGCTAGGGGGCTGCTATGGATCTCCACCTAGCCTGACTGAGTCAGGGACACCTGGCGCAGCAGATCTCTCCTGTTATTTGTAGATAAACAACTTAGCAGGGTGGGAATGTGCTTAGGAGTGCTCTGTGGGTTTTTCCAAGGACTAAGGTCATGTCCCTTCCTTGGACAGGCTTTTCTCTGAGGTAGAGGCTAGTTTTTCATTCCCCCTTTGTCTGGAAACTTGGGAACCAATCATGGTTTCCTCAGTTGGGGGCCTATTTGGACAGGCTCTACATCCTGGTAAACAGTAATCCTCAGGAGACAGTCTTCAACTTCCCAAACTCACTTAAAACTGGCCTCCTAGATCCAACCTGACTCTATTTACCTATCTACACTGCCTAACCATTTCTGGCTTTATTTCCCCTAATTTTAGAAACTTTGTTGCTGTAAGGAGAAGGGGTGAGAAGGGGCAATGGCTCGTTCTGGCTGCTTCAGAGCTGAAAAGGCGTGTCGAACATGAGGGGGCTCAATGACATGGGGGACAATGGACGACGTGGGGGACGATGACATGGGGGACATGAGTTCCCTTTTAGAAGTCAGTTCCATTTGAGGTCTGGTTGGGGAAAAACAGGTTGTCATCTGGGGATGGGTGCTTCTATGAGAGAAACAAAAACCATGAGTACTGAATAAATGTTGCAACAGCTGAACATGTCACTGTACATAAGTTCCCTCACCGGGCTTTAACATTTCCAGTTACCAGGACTATAAACATAACATTTAACTTTTAGGGTTACAGATATCCTTCCCCTTAAGACACAGTTTAATAATTTAATGTCATCTGATCTTGCAAAATCCTTTTACTAGTATGACCTCTGTGTCTAATAGAGAAATCTTTATTTCTGTTACTTAGGGCTGGATAATCATACTAGCAAACACTAAGCCTACCTGTGTAGGTTAGGAATATCTGTGGGCCTTAAACTAAAACTACTCTGGCAGTTTCTTTTGATAGTTATCAGTCATTCCTACCTAAGAATATCTTTTGCAGCCTCCAGTTTACTTATTCATGGAAGTTACATTTAACTATTATTATTATTATTTAAAATGTCCAGGAATAGCTGTGTTTTGGCTTTGACTGTCTTTGCTAAGTGTTTAAGATGAAGCAGTCAAACTGACTTTTGTTTCTATCTATTGTTAACAGTCAGCTGAGTTTCCCTGGGAGTCCTGGGGGAACTTTACAGCAGCTTCTCAGTTCTGCTAGTGCCATTTGCACTAGGATGGGTCCAGGCCTTGCTTAACCATGTGGCTTCCCTTGGAAGCATCAGGGATATCTCCTTTTTCTGATGACCCTCCTCTTCATAGCAAATGCACTGATTTGCTTTCTGTCCTCTAGTGGTCTCATTAATCTCCCTGATTGGGAGGTTATGTGGCCCAGGGTTGCAAAGCTCTTTGGAGATGTCCCCTGTTCCCTGGATTCAGACTGACTCAGAGGGCAAGAGCCAAATATTTGTTTCCTTAGCCCTTTTAATTTAACTTTAATTTTAAAACTTAATCTTAAACATCTAGCAAATAAATTTCTACAGCCTTATATTAAGATTACTGGGCTTTAATGTCTATCTCTCTATCCTGTAGGTGATAACTCATTATCTTAAATTAACCCAGGTTGTGAGTTCTTAAAACAGTACCTCTGCAAAACATTAACAGGCAATCTTTAGACCATTTATAAGAAAACTACAAAATAAAATTATCAAAAGTAAAAACATATTTAGTTCATATAATACCTACCTTGAATTTTGGTTATAATTCCCTGTTTGAGATCCTAGTAATCTTGACAAAAATCAACTTTTGGACACGACTTTAAATGTACTGAAATTTGGCCTACTTCTTTCATAGTTGTGAGATGGGACACAGAGCCTTATCTCAGGTAAGGCGGGCTCTTCATAAATCTTAAGTACTGTAGTTCTAAAACTGATCTTTGCTTTTTAAACATCATTTTACTGAGATCCAACATGGCGGCGGGCGTGGAGAGATCAAGTCTCTGACCTCTTCAGCTGTGCAGGCATAGGGAGACATAAACCATCTAAATGCTGTTTGCTCAGAATCACTAGGGAATGCTGAGCTGACGTGGATCTGGGGCAAACAGTCTGGGCCTCTCAGAACACACACCGAGCCCGGATAGGCTGAAATCAAGCTCCCGTTCACCTGCTTTTCGCAGACACACTGCTGTGACTCAGCACTAAATGATCCCGCTGAAAGAACTGGTCGGCCCTTCTGATCCTACGGGGGTTAATGCCAAACGAGCCTTCATAGGCAGTGGCCACAGGATTGAAACGGGGATTGGGAGAGACAGTCAGGACCCACCCGTTGCATTGGTCACCCGGCAAAGGGAACAAACGGTCACCATTTGCATGGGATATCACCATGGCAGAGAAATGGCGTCACGGGCGGAGGAGATAACTGCATTGAAACCAGCGTGACAGGTGTGTAATCCCCTAGTCATCTCTCTCCACACAGCAGGGAAAACTTAAGGGCCACTCCCAGCTCTCCTGTGAAAGCAATAACCAGACCGAGGGAATCAGGAGTGGTGCGGGACCCTCAGTGCAGAACTCCCGGCTACCACTCCCACCAGTGCTGACAACTGAGGTCTCTTGCACCAGCTACCAGGGGTGTGGCTACTGGCGGGCAAGCAAAATTCGCTGAGGGTTCTCAGCACCAAGCTGTACAAACTTAGGGTGTGAGGGAATGGCAAACAGGGAGAGTGTGCCCAGTCATTCATGAAAACAGGACTCCCGGGAGCAGCAGACCTGGCGTGTAGCCAATATTGTGGTGAGCATCACCAGTGAGCGGGGCCTGGCATGAGGAAAAGTGGGGAAGTGACTAGACACAAGAGAAGGCCCTAGGCACCCAGGATTGGAGACCCGCCAAGTCTGGGAGGAGGAGCTGCTGCACAGTGATTGGTTCCCACGTATTGAGAGGAGAAGCTTGGCCCAGTGGGCACAGCTCCACCTACTGGAAGAGACGTTAATCAAACTCTAAGACTGCATTTATTAATTTTTTTATTTGTGTTTTTTTTCATTTTCATTTTTTTGTTGTTTTTTAAATTTTTTTAATTTTTTTTAATTTTTTTTAAAAATTTTATTTTTATTTTTTATTATTTTTTTTAATTTTTTTTTTTTATTTTCTATTTTTTTTCTTTTGTCTTTTCAATTTTCTTATCCCCCCTTCCTTGAATTCTACCTGCTTACTCTCATTCTCTTTCGTGACTTCTTCCCTTCCCTTCTAATACCTTTCCTCCCAAGCATCAAATAAATTTATAGGAGTAAACAGTAACTCAGCAGTCAAACAGAACAAGAAGTAACATGAGCAGCATGAAAAGCAAGGAAGAAAAGGAGTACAAACAATGCAGGACAGCCTAAATATTCAGGAGGACCTAGAGTCATCAGAAAAATGGTCAAATAAAGAACTCAAGGAATACCTTAGACAGATGGAATGGAACCTTAAAGAGGATATGAGACAGCAAATTCAAACAGTGAAAGAACACATTGAAAATGAATTACATAAACAGATAAAAGAAGAAGTTAAGCATCTTTATCAGGAGATAGAGATTATTAAAAAAATCAAACAATAATTCTAGAAATGAAGGAAACTATAAACCAAATTAAAAACTCAAATGAGAGTATCACTAACAGAGTGGAGCAAGTAGAAGCCAGAACGTCAGATAATGAAGACAAAATATATCATCTTGAAAAGAGTCTAGCCAACTCAGAAAGGCTGGTAAAAAATCACGAGAAAAACATCCAAGAGATATGGGATAACATAAAAAAAAACAAACTTAAGAGTCATCGGGATAGAGGAAGGTATAGAGATTAAAACCAAGGGAATGAGTAACCTGCTGAATGAAATAATTACAGAAATCTTTCCAGAAATCAAAAAGGAAACAGATATACAAATTGTAGATGCATACAGTACACTGAGCATACAAAATCACAGTAGACCAACACCAAGACACATTGTTACGAAGATATCCAATATATAGAACAAAGAAAAAAATATTAAAAGCTACAAGATAAAGGAGGTAGATTACATTCAGGGGTAAACCAATAAGGTTAACAACGTATTTTTCATCACAGACGCTAAAAGCGAGAAGATCCTGGAACAACGTATTTCAAACACTGAAAGATAATGGATGCCAACCAAGAATTCTGTATCCAGCAAAATTAAGCTTCAGGTATGACAACGAAATAAAAATCTTTCATGATAAACAAAAGTTAAAAAAAATTACAGCCAGAAAACCAGCATTGCAAAGCATCTTGAGCAAAACACTAAATTAGGAAGAAATGAAAAACAATAACCAAAACCATCAGTGGGAAGTGCCTCAGTAAAGACAAAGGGCGGGGGGAAAGCTAATCATGGAGAAACAAACTAAATTAAAAAAAAAGATAAATAATCAAACATGGCTGGAAGTACAAACCATATATCAATAGTAACTCTAAACATTAATGGCTTAAACTCTCCAATAAAGCGACATAGGCTGGTAACATGGATTAAAAAAACAAATCCAACAATATGCTGCCTCCAGGAGACACATCTGATTGGAAAAGACATACACAGGCTGAAGGTGAAAGGTTGGGAAAAAATATACCATGCACACGGTCCTCGTAAGCAAGCAGGGGTGGCCATCCTCATATCGAATAAAATCAACTTTAAGACTAAGTTAATCAAAAGGGATAAGGAAGGACATTATATACTGTTAAAAGGAACAATTCACCAACAAGACATAACAATTATCAATATTTATGCACCAAATAATGGTGCTGCGACGTTCATAAAACAAATTTTCCTCAAGTTCAAGAATCAAATAGACCACAACACAATAATTATGGGTGACTTCAACACACCTCTCTCACCATTGGACAGATCCTCCAAACAAAAGTTGAATAAAGAAACTATAGAACTCAATATCACAATCAATAACCTAGACTTAACTGACATATATAGAATATATCAACCATCATCAAGTGGATATACTTTTTTCTCAGCAGCACATGGACACTTCTCAAAAATAGACCATATATTATGCCATAGGGCAACCCTCAGTAAATATAAAGAGGTGGAGATAATACCATGCATTTTATCTGATCATAATGGAATGAAACTGGAAATCAATGATAAAAGAAGGAAGGAAAAATCCTACATCACATGGAAAATGAACAATATGTTACTGAATGATCAATGGGTTACAGAAGACCTAAAGGAGGAAATCAAAAAATTCTTAGAGATAAATGAAAATACAGACACAACATATCGGAATCTATGGGACACAATGAAAGCAGTTTTAAGAGGGAAATTCATCACCTGGAGGTCATTCCTCAAAAAAGAAAAAACCAACAAATAAAAGAGCTCACACTTCAACTCAAAGCCCTAGAAAAGGAAGAGTAAAACAACAGCAAATGTAGCAGAAGGCAAGAAATAATTAAAATCAGAGCGGAAATCAACGAAATTGAAACAAAAGAAACTATTGAAAAAATTGACAAAACTGAAAGTTGGTTCTTCGAAAAAATGAATAAGATCAACAGACCCTTAGCCATGCTAACGAAGAGAAGAAGAGAGAGAACTCAAATTACTAACATACGGGATGAAAAAGGCAATATCACAACA